ATATATATATATATATATATACCTAGTGTCAATGGATTTCAACAGAGTCGTTGAAGACGAAGGTGTATCATGGGAAACAAGAAAACTCTTGTTCTTCCAAATGAAGAAGAGACTTGTGCCCTCAACCTACCTTCTCTTACAAACAGTTGGAGGCTTGGGACATGGGGGCAAATGACGAGTCCAAATCTAATAGGGTTCAGGCCTAATAAATCGAGCAAGCCCAAGTCAGCTAAAAGGTAGCCTAGGCCCGGTCCACCAATCCGGCCTAGTCCAAGATTCAAATCGGGAAGATAAGGACACATGAGGATAGAGATTATTGTGATACACACTCAAGAAAATTAATCCTACATTAATTGTACTTATCTTTTGTAAGTATTCTTCCCGAAGAAGTAGTGTCTTCTCCCTCACGTCACCGCCTCAACATACCTATAAATTTTAAGCCCTCTCCACATGAGAGAGGACACCTAGAGATATCTCAACACACCCCTCTACATCTACACACATAGTTTCTCTCTCCTAGCTATTGTACCTCTTTCGAAGTCTTTTCTCTCTTTTACTCAATTCATCAATAAAGAGCCACCGACCACCATTGCTATTTTCGAGAATGGAGTAGGTCATCCGAACCAAACTATTATATATCTGTGTATTGATTCAATATTTACTATTTTTCTATTGATTACTTATTTATTATTTATTAATTACACCTCTTTATATACTCAATTGTTGATCTTATACGAGACAGTTTTATGTTTCATCAATACCGATCACACACACACATAGAGTCACACAATAGCATAGATCTGAAACAGATTCAACTTCGGTACTTCAAATCTGTGTTTCAGTACTCCACATTCGTTGCGCGCGCGCGCGCGAGAGAGAGAGAGAGAGGAGATGGAGACGTCGGAGAGGGAGGAATAAAACAAACAGAAGGAATGAATATCAAAATAAAATAAACTCCGTATTTTAAAAACCTCCGATACAAATAACCCGACTTTACCCAAAATGTCAAATCTTTAGCCCAGACCCCGCGGGCTATCTAACGCGTCGTCCCACCGCTGAAAGCTTGAGGGTTCATCTCTCTGTTTCTCACTGAGCTCTCTCTCTCTCACAGCTGGATCTCTCTCCATGACGACCATATGAAGAGGCCCTATATTGTCCAAGCTTGAAAGAAACAATTTCTTCAACCCAAAACCACACAAGCTCTGATCAGTAGTGTACTCAATGGCGTGTCGTCGTGTAGTATCTTCAGGATTTCCTCTGATCCTCATATTCCTCTCGCTTTTCAACGTTGCTGTTCTCTGTAAAACCCTCAAACGAGACGGTACATGTTCTCTTTCCTTCCACTTCGATCCATTCATATCTAATTTCATAATCACACAGAATTTTTTCGTTAGCTAATTTCTTACTTAATTAAGCACGTTTGTTCTTAATTTTCAAAATTCTTCAGGACAATTTTAGTTAATTTTATCCAAGCAATTGACTTCCCGAAGATTCGGCATTTATTTTGAAGTGTCGGTGGAATTTGAGGATGAGTTAATAATTATAACTTAGCCATGATTAAAGTGTTTTAATGCAATATAGCTTCTTGATTGGTTAGATTGAAGGTCAAACATGGATATTTGATCGATAATTATGCTATGTATGAACTGCGTTAGTGATATGCAATAAAGACAGATACAAAAAGGGAAGTAACTGAAAACAGTTTGCTAGACTGTTCAAGGTTTTAACATGTTCTTTAATTACAGTGATCATTGTTCATCACTAATGGTTTCTTTAAGTATAATTTCGTTACATGGATATATATATATATGATAATCCTTCATACATAATGCATTTTACTGGAGTCTTAAGATGATGTTGATGTTCTAATTTTGCAGTGAAAGCTTTGAATGAAATAAAGGCGTCCCTGGGATGGAGGGTGGTGTATGCGTGAGTTGGAGATGACCCTTGTGGAGATGGTGATTTACCGCCTTGGTCTGGTGTCACTTGCTCCACTCAGGGTGATTATAGAGTAGTTACAGAGCTGTATGTGTTACCTTTCCGCTACTCACATTCTTTGTGACTGTACACTTTAATTTCATGTGTTCAAGGAACAATGCTATGTCACTGTTCAATTCCCTTTGTTGTTAGGACGTCTAATTATGAAGTCATTGAGGTGATATGAGATTTGTATTATTTTGCATTTACTTTATTTGTTTATTTGCAGGGAAGTTTATGCTGTGTCAATTGTCGGGCCTTTTCCTAGTGCTGTTACTAATTTGTTGGATCTTACAAGGCTGTAAGACTTTGCCTTGTTCTTTTCGTTTTCTATATTGTTCTTTGAGTCATACTGGTCGTTACCTTTGTTGCTTCCCAAATGACAATTTACTGCGTAAAGATTTTCACTAATCAATGCTTAAATTGGTAGCAAAATTGACTCCATGTTTTGTTTTTTTTTCTGTTCTAATGAGCAACATTCCACATCATTGTAAATAGTAGGTCAGAGATGGATTAATACTATTAAGTTTTAGAAAAAAATTATTTCTCCAATTTTTTATATATATATTGTGACTTTTGGATCTCCATAACAACAAGTTGACTGGGCCAATTCCTCCTCAAATTGCGCGTTTGAAGCGTCTTAAAACAATGTATCTTCCTTTACTTCCTAGTTAAATAATGTTGGTGTTCTCTATTTTTCTTTTCAATAGCACCTCCCTTATTGCCGACCTATAATTATTGAGGTTCAACCAGGAAGAAATTATCTCAGTCTATGTTGTCCGATCTTTTACTTTTTAAATTTAGTCCTGTTGCTGATTTTTGCCTTTTTCTCCTCAGGAATTTGAGGTGGAATAAGCTGCAAGAAGCCATTCCTCCTGAAATAGGTGAACTATAGCAACTGACACACCTGTGAGTAATGTCCAATCTTTGAATTTAGTTAATTCTCTTAGGAATTCTTAGCATATTGTACATACTATGTACATCTATAGACTAATAATTTAAAGTTCTGCAGCTATCTGAGTTTCAACAATTTCAAAGGCGAGATCCCCAAGGAGCTTGTTAATCTTCCTGAGCTCCGTTATCTCCTTCTACATGAAAACCATTTCATTGGACGAATCCCACCGGATTTGGGAACTTTACAAAACCTTCGGCACTTGTAACAATCTATCTTCTTTAGTCAATTCATTGTACAATATGCTGCTTGTGTCTTGTCCCAGATGATCTCATTGTGATACCATGTATTTTGTAGGGATGTTGGCAACAACCATTTGGTTGGAACCATAAGGGAACTGATACGTATTGAGGTATGCTTTCCAGCTCTTCGCAACCTGTAAGTCAATATAAATTGGCAAGATTTTAGATGACTTACAATGACATTTTGCCGCTAATGTTATGATTAAGTGGGTATTCTTTTTCCTTGTAACTAAAATATGCAGTTATCTAAACAATAATTATCTTACTGGAGGAATTCCAGCACAGCTGGCAAACTTGAAAATTTTGGAAATCTTGTAAGTATTGCACATTGAAGTACCCTAATAAACTGTTAGGGTGTTCTCTTCTGGCTTGATCTGTTGGTTGCTGCTGTCATAAAATTTACCAAGTTGATTGCTGTGTTGATAACAGGTATCTCTCCTACAACAAAATGTCTGGAATAATACCATACGGACTTGCTCATGTCCCTAGCTTAACGAACTTGTAAGTGTGTTTTCAACTTTTCAACTTTACTTTTATGGATGTACGAAATATGTTCCTCAGAATTTCTGTTGGCTTTGTTGGATTCTCAGATTGACCTATTTGTAATTGTGTTCATAGTCTTATGTGTAGTTTATGTACCACTGAATATGTTTGTTTTTATGGAATATGTGTATCGGATGGGAGTGAAAAATCTTTATTTTAGTGATGTAAATCATTTTAGCAGATCTAAAGACACCTAGATCTATACGTTAGTTACTAAGTCATACATTGTATTCAATGGGCCGCCAGGATAGCAAAAAGGATGAAATAGAACAACTACGTGAATGAATTAAACCTGATTTTTAGTTTTTAACACTTGTTTTAATAAAAGCTACAAATCTGAGTCCAAAACCTCCCCTCTTCCCGCTAGAAACCTAAGGCATATAATGCTCTTTTTTTCTTGTCAGAATGAGCAATTTTCCTCGTAGCAGTGCCTTGTTCTATTTCACTTAAACTCTCTTCAGCATTTAATAGCTGGGACTCGGGATTGCTGAAAAGCTAGTTTAAAATGCTGTTTAATGGTAGCAAAGTTAAGGAAGTTCAGCCTTTATTGATATGAGAAAACAACTAATTGTGATTCTTATTGATACGAGTATGCTCATTTTTTTTGGTCAATGGAACTTGACTTGTCCTGCATCTATCAATATCTTGGTTGTTTTCTTGAAATGCCGACCTTAGCACGTGGATTTAATATTTTATTTCTCATAATATCAGCATTGCCATTATTTTACAACTTGACAATTGTTTTGATCTCCGACTGTAAAGCATGTGTTTTTCTGGGATTACTAATCTTCTGCAGCATGGGATTCCAATTGTTGGCTTCTTTTTTAGTTGGAAATAGATAAGAGGACTTCAAGAATAAAACCTTGGCATCAATTGTTTAGTGGGAAATTTCTTCAGCACATCTTCCCACACGACTGAGTTTCAGGTACCTGGATCACAATCAATTTACTGGGAGGATTCCTGATGCCTTCTATAAGCACCCTTTCTTGAAAGAAATGTTGAGTTTTTTTCTTCAAGTCCATCCGTGTAAAATCGCCATTTGCATTACCATGTCAAAAAACTTATTGAATTCTGAATTCTGTCAACAGGTATATCGAAGGAAATTCATTCCGGCCTGGTGTTAACCCCATTGGTGACCACAAAGTCCTTGAAGTGTCGAACACAGAATTCCTTTTCTAGTCAAGACAATCAGACTCTTTTCTCTCTGTCAGCAATATATGTTCTTATTGTTAGAAATGGTGGTATTTTGATGAAAGTGTTTGAAAATCATGGTACCACACATATTGTTGATAATACTTTAATTTCGAAAAGTTGAAAAAAAAATTGAAAGTCGAATTAAATGTCTTCAATTACATATGTGGTCCTACTGCTAGTTCTCTCGTTTGTAGCCATTACCATTTTTTGAGGTTAAGGCTATCATGTACCTGCTGCAGCTATCTTGTTGATTCTTTTCGACTAGAATTAATTCCAAAGTTAATTTTAGCGGTAACAGGGACAAGTTATAAAATTAAACGTTCTGAGTTTGAATGTTGATAATTCTTTGGAGTTAAGTTATGAGAAAATTATCTCTTATGAATACCTTAATCTCGGTATAGATGACCTATTTTTTATCGGACCAAGGATAATAGCTAAAGGGACTTTGAAACACAATTTTTTGGTATTTGATATTTGAGCAAAAACAAAAAGAATAGTGCTTCATTTGACTTGAATTTACAAAGGTGATTCCATAGAACTTTCTATTCTTTCTCTTTTTCTCTTGCGTTTTGTGAGATTCTTGTATTGAAAGAAACTTTTGAAAAAGAGTTTGTATTTTTTATTAATTCTTCTTGAAATGAGTTAAAGTGGAAGACTTTATTTGTATCAAGGTGAAGATTATAAGGGTTTTAACTCTCACTCATTAAGATGATTAAGCTAGTGAAAAGATTTTCTAGGAGGAGGTTGAAGAGAGGACATAGGTCAAGCTGGTTGGGCTGAACCTTTATAAATTGCATTTAAATCTCTATTCTCTTTGTTTTGATGCTATAAATCATTAGCATTATACATTGCATATTTCTTGAAAGCTTCACTCATCATTCTAGGTAACTTAAAAATTAGAAACTTAATTCACCCTTCCTCTTGGGTTGTATTTGGGTCAACAACTGATATTGTATATAATGTGTAATGAAATTAGAGTTCAAAAATCATGAAAAACTTAGGAGGAAATATAGTGGAAGGACAATTTATTACTAGACCTCCACTTTTCAATAGAAATGACTAATATACATTATGTCTTTACATGATTCATTGTGGAACGTAATTGAAAAATGATGTGTAGCATCCGCTAAACCAAAGAAAGAATGATTAAATGATGAAAAGAAATTGAACACTACAAATGCTAGCAATGAATACATTGTATAGTGCCTTTAGATCGAAATGAATTCAAATGCATTTCTACCTGCGAAATTGCTAGACTAATTGATATGTGCTAGATGTCAATCATGAAGGGACTAATTTCATTTGAAGAGGATGATTTGCTTATAGAGTGATTAGATAATCTAGGGGACGCACTTTTAGATGAATTTGGTTATGATAATGGACAACACACTAGGTCAAAATTCCTTTTTGGTGATATGGACAGAAAGGTTAAGCAGACCTAACACAAGTGAACCAAGCTCGAATGAGGCGAGAGCAATTAAGGAAGGAGCTAGTGGCGTGAACATTCTCGTGGATGATGTTGACGAGGATGATTTTTGAGACATTAATTAAGGGACCAAGAGTGCATCATACTTGCATTCATGAAGTTACCAATGGAGATGATGTTGATGAAGAAGGAGATCATGAACAGTGTTTTTTGTTGGAGTGACATTGGTGGCTAGGAGGATATCAATGGCAAAAATGTCGGCAATAAAGATGGAGATTTTACTACCGCCCCACGAAGTACTAATATTTTTAGTTTTTTGCAGTCACATCATATTCGAGAAAGCCCATCGTACATTTATTTCACTAAAGAATAGTATTTTGATCATTTCATTCAAGATGAAGATCATGGCAGTCATTGCTCCGTGAGTCGTGCAAATTAGCAAGACTATATATTTTAGATTGAATAAACAGCTCTGTAGTACATGATTATTATTTTTTTGACTGCATGATTTTATGGTTTAATTACTTTGATTTTGTTCCAGGCTTTTTTGTGCATGAAGAATGTTCCAAGCCTTCTTGTGAGTGAAGATTCAATATCAAACAAACTAAGGGCTTGTTTAGATTGTGTTCCAAAACAAATTTTTGTTCTCAACACAACTAAAACCTTTTGAGATGCTGTTGATTAGCATTTTCCAAAAACAAATTTTCAAAAAAAGTGATAAATGAGAACAAATGGTAAAAAACAAGAATGAGTTGTTTTGTCCAATTTTGTGAGCACCCATTTGAGATTTGTGAAAACACGGGGAACAAAATACTGTGCACTTATTGCACCAGTATAAAAGGGGCCCTGTTTTTTCCCCCTCTCCCTGATATTTACCCCCTGTTTGGTTGAAGGAAAAATAGGAAGGAGGGAAAATAGAGGAAGGAAAGTGGGAGGAAAGGAAAATCTTTTCATTGTTTGGAATGGAGGGAAAATGGGAGGGAATGAAAAATGGAAGGGAAATGCTTTCCCTTGAGCCCACCAAACATTTTTCCCCCAAAAATGGGCGGAAAATGGATTAAAAATGGAGGGAAGATTGGGTTTTTTTTTGTGAATTGACTATTTTACCCACCACTCTGTTTAATTATATAATTTTTAGTATTTACCGCATAATATAATTAAAACTTAACTTATTACGTTTGCTTTTGTATATGTAATAGAAGATTTAATATTTAAATGTACATAATGAAAAAAATACATATGATTTCTAGTTAGATACACATGAAATAATTAAATGAAGATTTTTTTTATAAGTAATTTTATTTTTAATTTTATTTCAAAAAATGACACAATAGAACATAAATTTTGGTTGTAAAATTTGAAATATTTAATAATTTATCTTTGATTGGAGTATTTTTGGCCTAAGTATAATATTTTAAACTTAAAAATGGTCTAAATATTATATACTTATAAAAAAAATTCATGCATTTTTGTTTATTTTCTTTAATCTTATTCATGTAATTAGATGTAAGAGTATAATGGTAAATTTGGTATAAATATTTTTCCTTTCCTTCCAATTTTTCATCTAATACCAAACAAAGAAAAATGCATCCTTTCAATTTTCCATCCATCATACCAAACATAATGAGAGAAAATATATTTCTTTCCAACTTTAATCTTTCTTTCCATCATTTCAATTTTTCATCATTCCTACCAAACGAGACGAATCACTGGCACAGCTCTGACAGCTCAGGTAAGCCATAGATATGGGTTTTTTTTTGCCTTGATTTTTCTGGGTTTGTTTTTTCTTTAGATTTGTTTTCATTTTCCTTTTTTATCTTCAGATTTTTCATATAATAGATCTATTGTTTAACAACTTCAGCGAACCGAAGTCGTAGCTCCGGCGACTTAGCTAAGCCATAAAACTCCTATATTTGATTTTTTTATCTTTTTGCCTTGATTTGATTTTCGATTTTTTGGGACATGATCGATTTTCATTATGTATGTTTACAATTGCCAAATCTGGCTTCTCATAGTTCACCCAAAGCCTATCAAGAAGAAGTTATGGCTGTGGAACGAAACCCCTCAACAACCCTTAATCAGTCCTCTATCGATGAAAACGATCTCGATCTATTGGACGTCTCGTCAAATCAGGTAGTATATTCATGTATGAGTACAAATGAATTTTTTTACTATAGTGTGATTTATGTTTGTTTTTATCAAGTTAAGCATTTGAAAACATTGTATATCAAGTAATCAATCCAAACAACATTTATGTTTTTATTGTTTTCTGTGTTACTATCCAAACAGGTTTTAGTATTTTCTGTTATGTAAAACTGTTTTTGGAATCATCTAACTATACAAGTTCTTCATCTCAAAAAATATCACAACACACTTTTCTAAAACTCTTTGTTAAAACATAGTTCTGATACCACTTGTCGATTTTTGAACATCATCCACTTCACTATCAGTAACAAATAAAGCCTATGAATTATCATCATTGTCCTTTGTAATTTTAGCATGATAATTTTTATTATCGGGTTTCCTTAATTTGCTCTAAACTTTTTTATAGTGCCCTAATTTTCCACAATAGTAGCACTTTATCTTGAATTTATCATGTTGTTCACTCTAATTATTACCTTTTTATTTTTTTTCACCAGATATGTTTTGCCACGTACCTTGGTTATTTGAATATTAATACTTTTGATTTGATTGAGATTTATATAGGACTTATCTTTCTCTTTCTTAAAACTCGTCTAAGTTTGCAAGCTTTCTTTTCCTAAAATCTCAGTCTTTTCATTTCATCTTTGTTCATGGGCTTGCAGGGAACCATCAACTCATCAACTGTTAGAGAATCAAGATCTTTTGACTGCATGTTAGGTATGATAATATACTCGAACTTCATTGATAAGGTCCAAATAATTTTCTCCATAACTTGGCGATCCTGCACATCCTCACCGTTGACTCTCATCTAATTTGACAATAATCAATGTTCACGAGAAATAATTAGATTTACTCTGATTTTTCCATCTGAAAAAGCTTATACTGTCTGTGTTGGGTCTGCAACCAAACTTTTTTCATCTTGTCTATAACAATTGATTAAGAAATTTCATACCGCATTTGTTGTCGAAACATGAGCAATCTTATCATAAATTAATGAATCAAATGCTCTATAGATATACATCAACACTTTGCTGTTTTTCTTTTGATTAATTATCAATTCATCATTTTGGGCTTTTATATGAATTGGTAGATCTCCAAAATCTGTGAACCCATTTGTTATAATATCTGAGAAATCTATGACTTTGAAAAATAATTCCATCTGTGTTTTTTAATGTTGAAAATTTGAGTTCTTGTCAAATTTTCCAACTGAACATTGAACAAACTCATTCCTATTTGCCATCTTTAAATTTGGCTCTGATACTAAATGTAAGATCTCAAAATATCAAATATTCAAAATAATCTCACACACACAAAAAAATCATAAAAGATGAAACAACGTTCACGTTAATGTTCTTGAACTCAAGAACTTGCGGCGACAAAAACTTTTCTATTCAATAGGTAATCTTTTGGGTATAACCAAAGAAAAAGATTTCAAGATGTCTCTTAGAATTAAAAACAATCTAATCCTAATTTTACTAATAGAATAATCATACTCTTTATAAAGTAAGGATATCCAAAACTATTTAAAACTCTAATAAATAAGAAAGTAGGAGATTTTGGGTCAAACTCCAACACTCTTTCTCAAAAACGATTTTTGAAATACAATTCAAATACACCCTAAGTAATTATAATTATGAATAATCTTGTTTTG